GAAACAGGGTACTAAAAATGCAAATATTTGTACATCTCTCTCTCTCTCTGTCTGTGCATGTATATACAGTATATACATTCCCACAAGGTGAACTTAAGGAAAGTGGACGAAGCCTTCCAGGGGTGGTTATAAGATTTGTGAAGTTTAATATTGCAGAATATGGTCCCTTCTCAAGTAATTGAGGCCATTAGAGGTAAGGACGTGTAAGGGCTTCACTCCATGAAAAGTAGTAGCTCAGATCATGTTGCTTAGTGCACTAACTCACTCTAGAGTAGACCCATTTTATTATCTATCTATCTATCTATCTATCTATCTATCTATCTATCTATCTATCTATCTATCTATCTATCTATCTATCTATCTATCTATCTATCTATCTATCTATCTATCTATCTATCTATTTAACTTATATGCCTCCCACACTACCTGAAGGTCTCTGGGCGACTTACAGCATTTTAAATACAATAAAAAGGCAAAATAAAAGGGCAAAATAATTAAAATGCAATTAAAAATATATATATTCTAAAAATTGCCATCAGACCCACAGCTGATATTATTCCAGTTAAAAGCCTTCTGGAACAGGAAGGTTTTGAGCTGGCACCGAAATGTCACTGCGGCGGTGAGCCTGCCAAGGTAGGCTACACCCACCTTTTGGCATGTGTTGTGCTGATTCTGCCTTTTCCCAACCTGAGGCTTTTTGGATACCTGGGACTGCCCTTGCCTACCATCTCGGCCACTACGGCCACGTTCCATTCTCCTCAGTGGTTTCAGTCTCTGGCTGTGGAGCCAGAAGTTGGGAGTTCGATCCCCCTCGGTGCCTCCTTGATCTGTCTTTTCCCAACCTGCGGCTTTTTGGATACCTGGGATGGCCCTTGCCTACCATCTCGGCCACTACGGCCACGTTCCATCCTCCTCAGTGGTTTCAGTCTCTGGCTGTGGAGCCAGAAGTTGGGGGTTCGATCCCCCCTCGGTGCCTCCTTGATCCAGAGGATCCCTTCCACCTCTGCAGTTCTAAGACGATGATGGGGATGATGATATAATACTTCTAGAAAACACCACGTGAAGGAAGGGTGGCGTGTGTGTAAAGCTCCCGTTTCAGATGATTTGTTTGAGCACAACAAAAGAGAAATCTTGAGGAAGTAGAAGCGAAGAGAAATCTATTAATTGCAAATTAGGGACGAGACTTTTACCTCAGCCGTCTCCTCCCTCCTTTTATTGTATTTGTTTGTTCGCTATGTTCAGGGTTGCACCTTGTCAGGGTGGAAATGGGGTGGAAGGCTTTACCTTTTGTACCATAATTATAAATAATACAAACATGACAGTTCTTCTGCTCCCCCCCCCCAGCTCCATAGATGGAGAAGTGGACTAAACCGCCTGCTGCCCATGCATCTGGCAGAGAGAGAGGTTGTCAGGCTCCTATTTTGATTTCCAGGCAGCAGAAAGAAGATTTTCCCTCCCCAAACTGGGCTGGCAGGAGCTGCTGACATCAATAATGATAGCCTTAGAGGAAGCTGAATGAGGCCTTTTTTTTCCTTTTCCCATCAGCATTTCCACAAAACTGTTTATGAAATCCTCAAGCATTTTGAGATCCTGCCACAGTGGAAGGATGAACACGCACTTGCCTTCACAGCTCACTGCTGCAAGTGGTGGCAAGTAACTTTGAAGTGTAAATGAGTTTTCCAGCAGGTGGGCATGGAGAGGGAAAATGCAACGCTGTGGGACGCCCGTCTCTTGCTATTCCTATAATTTTTCTCCGGACTCTGTAAGCGTCTTTCTGTATGAAGCCAGCTTTTTTTTGGGGGGGGGGGTTAGCCAGAAAGCACCCAGTAGACAAGCAAGAGAAGGTGAAGGCAGAAGTAGCCCTCTCCACTTTCCAGGGAAATGCAGATTTATTTGAAACATTGGCAACATTGGCATAAATTATCGCTAGGGAAAGACTGTGACCAAGCGATCCTTGTGTTTTCTTGTACAATGTTAAAAGTTTAACTTGCGGGATTTTGCATTGAAAAGCCCAAAGAATTGTAAAACTCATAAGCCTCATTAGCCACAATTAGGGTGATCAACCAGGGAAGAGCCTCCCTGAAGCATGGAAAAGCATTCTACACTTGGGCATCCCCTGGGAGCCCTCACCACCTCCCGAAACCATGGCTTCCACTGCTGTACTACTCTAACTGTTAGGAGGTTTTTCCTGATATTCAGCCAAAATCTGGCTTTCAGTCGCTTGAGCTCATTGTTGCATGTCCTGCACTCTGGAATGATGGAGAACAGATCTTGCCCCGCCTCTGTAGGACAATCTTTAAAGTCTTTGAAAAGTGCTATCTTGTCTCCCGTTAGTGTTCTTTTCGCAAAGCTAAACATGCCCAATTCGTTCAGTCTTTCTTCATAGGGCGTGTTTCCAGTCCGCTATGCAACCTTTTAGACTAACAGATTATTTTGCAAACACTTGAAAGAACCCACAAATATCTCTGAAACCATATAAAGAATGCTTTGTGGCTCTCGGTTTTCTATTTACCAAGGGTCCTATGTGCACAGACGATGCACAGATGCCACTTTGCATTCCCAGTTGGGAGGTGTCTGTTTGCCTAAGGATAGATCTACAGATTAATAAAATATATCATATCATATCATAAAGGGCTTCCAAACTGAAATCCTCTCCCCACAATACATACCTTTCCTTTGTCTCTGGGGTCATTGCATAGTAACATATAATAAAACTAATGCTCAGCACTGGGGTGGAAAAACTAAGCTCCCACCAGTGCCCATGTCCATCCAGACTGTGGGTGAAGTTGTGTCACCACAGGAGTGACTGTGGATTGGGGAAGAAGGAAAATGGATGTCTCAATCCACCAGGAGATGGAGGGCCATCTTTCCAGCTCTCAGTGTCTCTACAGGGTGTGACTGGTCATCTCTAACTCATTACACTTTGGACATGGTCCAGTTTTTTGCCTGCAGCTTCTTTCCTGTATCCCCACCTGTAACAACATCTGGACAATACAAGGACCTCAAATTGGGGTTCTCTTTCCTAGTTTTCCTTCCTGCACTGTGGTGATCATCATTATTATTTTTAACACCCACCTGATAAAGAAGGTGCACTTTCAAAAGCTAGCCCAGTCATTTACACTTTTGCACACCTTGGGGTGACTTTTTTTGCTGGCATTAAGACAGGACTTTCCTGAGTACAGTATGTGTGCTTGGGTTTATTTCAAAGCGAATGTTCCCGCAGTACGATCCACTTAATATACCACCGACTGGTTACTGCAGTTATCAGATAATGGACATAACGACAGCATCTTTTGACCTTTCCTTGATCTCTGAGTCATACAGCCGCTTGTATTCGGCTGGCGTTATTTAATGTCACCTTCCACTTCAGCTCCTTCTTAAAGTTCCCCCACTGAAATCTGCTCTGCTCCTCCTGCCAGGACCAAATGCTGGTTTTTTTTTTGTTTTTTTAAATCAATTAGTAAGGCCGATACTTTGTAGCAGCAAAAGCAACAGCCTTCCAACACCCAAAATTATAAAAGATGTGCAGTTTTGTGGAAATTTTTCTCCAGGGCATGAATTTCTTGCGCTCATTCCCCTTGGGAGCTGTGAGAATGGCTTAGATATCTTGAAGGGAGAGATGTTGCCATGGCTGGCCGGTGGGTTTGACCACTGCATGGATTTTGCCCCTGTGTTTCGTCTGGAAGCACAAAGATCTAGAGGAAGGTGGTGGTGGTGAGATATAAAGACATGCTGACCCCATTTCCCCTCCCGACTGAGGACGACATTTCCCTAAGCTCAGGCCAGCAGCTTTCAGACAAGCTGGGTTGGTGCTGCCATCATCCCTGCTAACTTGGGGATGGTTCAGCTGAGGATAATGGGCATTGTAGTCCGTTGCACCTGAAAGGGACCGAAAGAGTCTTCGGGCGCTTTGAGCACCACCAAGTTTTACGCAGCACAAACTTTTCCAGGCTTTATGTAGCTTATTTCACCAGCCTTAGTGCAAACATGAAACCAAATAAATTGTGTCGACCTTTTTAAGATGCCGCAAGATTTGTTCTGTGCTTTGTGTGTTGTGTGTGTGTGTCCAGAATGTGCAATTAATTGATAAGGTTGCTACCCCCCCTGACAATTTTTACAAGAAATTTGCAATCTTTAAGACCCCCCACAGGATTCCTGGTTTTCAATTTTCTTGTTGAGTTCTGCCCATTAAGTAACTCCTATTTTTCCATTTGTTTTTATAAATGTATCTTTTAAACTGTAACGTTTCATTTATTTTCGTGCTACCCTCTTTCATGTCAGCGTTTGCTTATTTTAGTTATTTTATTTATTTATTTAAAAAAAAGGAGGCAGGCACGAGCGCCCTCAAAAGGCGGGAAAAGAGAACGACCGCCTCAGAGAGGAAAAGTCGGCCTTCAATGTAAAGGCACCGCCCTTTCCCGCCCCAAAGAATTCAAGAGAGCGAATGAGAATGCGAGCGAGCGAGACGGAAAGGCAGACGAACCAATCAAACGTAAGCTCGGGAATGAGAGGCGGGGCCAAACGAAGGGATCTGGCGCCATCACTCAAGCCGCGAAGGCAGCTTTAAGGCAACCGTTGCACGTGGCGCCACAGTTCGGACCAATAGGAAGGTGGCGTTTTTGTTACGTCACCAACTCCTTACCGCTCCGCGGCTGCTGCTTCGAACCGACCAATGGATGAGAAGATCAGAGCTCTTCCTTTCCATTGGACCGCCCAGACTTCCGCCCCAGGGTAAAGAGGGGTGCATAGAGATAGAAAATTTAGAGCGTCACTCTCGCCACACATTCCGAGGAAGATTTTTTTTCGGGGTAAAATCGTGCGCTTTTCTGCCGCAATTCCCGATGTAATTTACGCAGCAACGAAGAATATATAATGAGGGCCAAGAACGTGTGCTGGGACGACCATTTCAGGCGCTTTATCAGTTCTAGCTCTATGGTCTGGACTTTTGCCATAGAGTCTCTGGGGCCTAGAGCGACGCCACCTGGGAAACCATAGAGTGAAGCGCTGGTTCACCATCCCTTTGGGGGTCGTGGGACTTGTAGTTCTTTCCTTTCCACAGCCAGCTATAGGTGACTTTGACACGGGGAGACATTCAGCTGTTGCCGGAAGTTGTGACAGCTCGCCACTCTAGCTCACAGCCTCTATGATTCCACTTCCGGTGCTCCCGGAAGTGCAACCGGCGCCTCGGATTCCAGGCCGAGATGGTGAGGTTCAAGAACAGGTGAGCGCAAGAATCGCCGGCGGCCGGTTGGGGGGGGGTTTCCCTTGTGAGGTTCTCTGGGCTTAGCATCCTTTCCCATCTCTCTGACTACAACTCCCATCCTCCCCGCTCCTCGAGGCCGTAGCTTGCTCATCCCTCACAGGTACCGATGGTCTTGTTTGCTTGGCAGAGTTGAGTTGTCTGAAGCATTTTAGAAAAGGGCCCTAGGATAAAAAACCAAACAAACCCCCATCTTTCTTCTGTAAGGACATTATTATTTTTGGACCGTTTCAAACAGGCAAGTTTCCGGGTCCTACAAGGTTCTTCGTCAGGCTGGCCACAGTTAATGGAGAAAGGGAAAAGCACCGAAAACTGTTTTCTCTCTAGATATTAAACCTTCCGCCTTTGTCGTTAAACTAAGGTTCCAAGATGGGAGTTTGCAAAGTTAAATAGTAAACTCTGTGGTGTAGAGATGTTTCAGGTTTCAGTCCGAGGGATGTAAGATCAAGTGTCCCGTTCTGCCTCTAAAGACAGAAAGGGTTGCCAGTGACTCTGTTGATCTGACAACACAGTATTAAATGGTTTAGATTCAACTCAACGTTCTTGAGGGCCACTCAAAGCTTGCAGCTTCCTACCTCTGCCTTACCCAGCTATGTGGCAACTGCTCTTTAGTTTGGGTGCTTTCAAGACAAGATCCCTTTGTTCCGAGCATCACTTTCTCCTCCCGACTTCTCTCCCTCTCTACCTGTGCAGGTACTTCCTTTGCGAAATCATCTCTGAAGACCCACGCTGCCGACAGTTCATTGAGGAGCGGACGGTACACAACACGGTGAAGAATGTTGTAGCGAAGATGTACGGAGACTTCGGGCTGGCCTGTTGCTCCATTGCTTTTACAGGTCTGGTTTCGTGGAGCCTTCCAGCGAGCCGACTTCTCTCCCTCTCTACCTGTGCAGGTACTTCCTTTGCGAAATCATCTCTGAAGACCCACGCTGCCGACAGTTCATTGAGGAGCGGACGGTACACAACACGGTGAAGAATGTTGTAGCGAAGATGTACGGAGACTTCGGGCTGGCCTGTTGCTCCATTGCTTTTACAGGTCTGGTTTCGTGGAGCCTTCCAGCGAGGGGCAGGCTGGGCCCTCCCTAACTTCTCTTTCCTCTTTGGGGAAAATCTTGTCTGTGCTCCACGTTTGGAAAACTCAACACCCAAACCCTACTGTTGAGGTTGATAGCTTTGCCATCATAGTGTTTAGCATCTACAAGCCTCAGAGTTGCAAGGAGAAATTGGAATTCTTTTTGAAGGGTGGTGGTGCTCTAACTACACGCTTCTCCCTCCTTTATGTGAAGGCTGTGAAGCATCCAATTTGTTTGTTTTCTCTCTCTCTCCAGTAAAGTACCTCAACGCTTACACAGGAATCGTTCTTCTGTGCTGCCGAAAGGACTTCTATCGGCTCCTCTGGTCATCGCTTCCCTTTATCACTCACTTGGAAAACAGGAATCAATCTTGTCCATGTTCTTTTAACACTCTTCGTGTTGGGGGTGAGCTCTGTTCTTTGGAATTCTTTGCTTTTTAGCACTGCAAGTGTCTTGGTGGTCGTCCCTTACGTCAAGAGTGCACTAGGCAAGCCTGCGAAATCTGACGTTCGTCGGTGGATAAATGAATTAACATGCACATGTGTTGGCCCTCTGCTGATGCGCACCTCCTCTCCCTTGGAATCCAGTGCAATTAGTTGATAAGGGCAGGGATATGTTGGCAGAACCAGTTCTGCACTCCTGACACGTCCTCTCCAAAATGCATTTTTTTCTGCCCTTGTTCAGAGTTGGAAGTGTCTGGAGGTTCAGAATTCAGAACCTCAGAAGAGCCCTGTGCTGGATCTAACTTCCTGTCTCTCACCGTGGCCCCACCAGATGCCTCTGGGAGCACACGAGAGACAACGAGATCCTTGTCTCCTTAGAGTAAAGTGTCTAGAGTCTTTTTTTTCTTTTTAAAGAACAAACTTTCTTGAACAATATATTTGAGAGGTGATTCGTCTTAAGACAGCATACATACAAATGGGGGGCAGCAAAAACGGTGAGAGGCACAATATCTCGTCTGTGGTAGAAGCACCCTACTAATGTTGGCGTTATGAACCTGGCGCAGGGAGGAGCTTGCCCATGGAGAAAAGCCTTTCCCCACATTTTGTGGTAAGGGAGGTTGCCAGTACTTACACATATTAGTGATGACGGTCTGCAAACACACAAACAGTGCCATGTCCCCACAGGCTTGAAAATGGTACAGTATCCCAAAGGGCAGGTTGGTGGTGGTATTTTTCAGAATTAAATAACTTCCAGTTCAGGACCCTCAATGCCAGCAGGAGGTAAAGCAGACCCCCCTTTTCCCCATGCCACTTCTCGAACCATTAGAAAAGTATCCTGCTGCATGGGGAAGCAGCCTTTGTCGGAACCCATTCCCCCAGGTACTGTCGTGAGCCGCAGTGAATCCTTGTGACTCCCACGGTGACATCCGTTGGCCCCTAATCTTCCCTTTAATTCTGTGATAGGTGCTCGGGTACTCTATAGGTATTTTAGACTGCCTGACCACTTGGGCTGGGCCATACAAAACCCGAAGCATCCAGAGAGCTTTCCTATTCGCTCTGTCATTTTTGGTTAAAATACAGTGAATTCTATGAAAAAGAATTGACTAGTGTGCAGTTGTACACCTGGCTAAACTGTGAGTGGCAATACTGACTCCCAAGTGTTATTGACTCATCTGCTTAGACCTTTCATGTGCCATTTGCCAATAAATTGAGTCAGCCTTTGAGATAGTCTAGGATGTTCTGCTGTTTCTTATTCTGCTAGAAATACTTGTCCAAGGTTTCCTGCTAACAGCCTTTCACATGGTCTTATCCTGACTGTTGGCTCTCGCTTAGCTCTAGAAGGCAGTCTGAGGATGTAACTGTTCCCTCGGCTGCCAGGCTGCTGATCTCTTCCTTTCTCCTTCCCCAGCGACCATACGCTCATGCCAGAAATTCCTAATTCAGTACAACCGGGACCAGCTGCTCTTGCTGCTGCGCAACTGCACCAATGAAGGTAACAAACAGCTTTAACCTCGTACTTCCTAAAGCAAAGCTAGAATCAAGAATTCCTCAGCGTCTATAGGAGTATTTATGCAAAGGATGTGTCCTCTTATCCAGAGACCGATACCAACAGGTCCAAATGGCAGAGAACACAAGGAAGAACATCCTGATGGTTTTGGCCATTTGATGGTGGAACAGGTTGCCTTGGGAGTGCCGCCCCCTCCCTTTTTGGTTATGTTTTCATCAAAGGGTTGGGTGGCCCTTTGTAAGAGAGGGTGCAATAGTGGAGGATTTAGTGCATGACCAGGGACGTGGACTCCACATGGTCTTCTGGGATCTCTTCCTACCCCTTGAATCTGGAGCAGCAGCTGTGGGAGGCTTTATCTGCCCTGCACGGTTTTCTTCCCTCTGCCTCCACTTATGAAATCAAATGGGAACTTTATAGCAAGAACTTCATGACCCATCTCTGGTGGCAGAAATACTTTTAATTCTCAAATCATTTAAGGCTATATTGGAGACAGAAGGCAGCGAAATGTAGTAGACCCATGTTTTCTGTGCAGCGTTCAAGCTTAACCAACCTCTGCACACTGAATGTTCAGTAAAGATATCTGTGAAGATTCTCAGCCAGTTCATTAGAGATGGCATGGGTCATCTTGTGTCCTTCATCTGTGGTTTCTCAGTTGTGTTCTGGGGGACCTTGTAGACCCACGTAGAGAAAACCAACGGGGCTGAATAAGCTTAGAGGGCAGCTAGCCCGGCCACTCCCGTTTCTCCTTTGTCGACTAGGCTCAATGCATCCAAAGCAGGTGGGAGCCACCAGTGGCCAGGCTGACTCAGGCACGATGGGGGTTATAGTCCAGCCTATCTAGAATGCCACCTTAGAGGCTTGAGCAGCACCTTGTGAAATCCGAGTGCACGGTCTTCAGCACCCATCATGTCCTGCTATGCATATGTGCGTCTCACTTGAACATTTCTTCAAACTTCTTACAGCAGACAGAGAAGCCATCCAGAAGTCCCTGCAGAGCTGCACGCTTGTGGGAGAGCAGCCAACGGAGAGTAAAGACGAAGAGGACAGTGACGGCAGCACAGAGACGGCCTGAGGAATTCAATCCCCGGAGGCTTCTGTGAGAAAGCCAGTGCAATGGAGCTTATCATCATGTTCTTGTCATTCCTTTTTAATGAGTCTTATATGCCACAGAGCAAAATATCTCTTATAGCAAAGGTTTCCTCATCCAGTTTACTGTACAGAGGTCTGTAAAGCAACTTACTGCAACTTTCTTGGGCCCAAAGAATTGTGATGTAGGTCCGTATCCCATACTGTGCTTTATATTTAACTTCTGGGCAACAGCTGTTCCCCTGTGCTCCAGGTGTATATTCAGAAGGATACCAAGCAGAACTGGCACTTTTTTGCCTTTGAAGGGCTGCTGAGCCACAGCAAAGGTCAAGCAGGAGCTGCTTCCGATTGTGGGTGAAGCTTGTAGGTTTTTCTGTACTGCTCCGCCTCTCCCACACAGCTGCACGCGTGGGCACATGCATGAAGCAGAAGAGGGGAAGTTACTTCTGGAGAGGCAGCACCCATGGTAAGATGCCTTAACATCAGTTCGTTGTATCTGAGTCAACGGATTGTGTTATCTTTGAATACTCAATGAAGTAAATCTGTTAAAGGTGCTGGTATCCTTTTGCTTTTGTTGCTGCTGCTGGAGCACATCAACACCTCTGAAAATGTGCACTTTCAAACTGACACTTTTAATGGCCACTTCCCCCACAGCCCCTGGTCTAGTCGTCTTCTCCAGGCACTGGTATCCTTTTGCTTTTGTTGCTGCTGCAGCAGCACATCAACACCTCTGAAAATGTCCACTTTCAAACTAACACTTTTAATGGCCAAAAGGTGATTTCAGACATAAATACAGGCATCGTTTTGGGGAATATGCTTTCACTGGAAACCGAGGTATCTGTTCTTTATGGCATAAGCTGATGCTGAAGTACTACTGCTAACAACTGTTCAAGTCTAGTTTTTTCAAAGGACAGTGGAAATTACGGATGGTGCTGCAGGTGCAGAGCGGAATGGGGCTGCATGCAGCCTTAAAAGTATTTGCACTACGTTTCCTGAGCTTTTCTGAGAGCCGTCTGAAGGCCATGGAAATCCTCCCCTCCAATCCCTTCAGCAGAAGTCAGTAACTTTAGTTCCTTTTGGGTTATCCCCCTGCCAGTTGCGTCTATGTTCATGCTGGCAGATGGCACCGTGCCCTGCTCTTCTCTCAGCACCACTTCCCCCTCAGCCCCTGGTCTAGTCATCTTCTCCAAGCCGATATGCTGGGTGCCTCCCATCGTTCACATACAGCATATACACCTGATGGGACCTGTAATCTCCCAAAGGTGCCTTGGCTGGGGAAGGCTGATCTAGCTTAACAATGGCCACCACGGTTCTGATTGATGTTTCTACTTGGTTATTCAGAGTGGCAGGATGAAATGGTGTGTTCTTTCTTCATCCTGACAAAGCACAATCAGGGGCAATGAATGATAAATGAAGGCAGCTGCTGGATAGCTCAGTGGTTTAGGTATCTGGCTGTGGAGCCTGGGGTTGGGAGTTCGATTCCCTCCACTGGGCCTTCTTGACGGGGGCTGGACGTGATGATCCACAGGGTGCCTTCCGGCTCTGCAGTTCTCAGGTGATGATATAAAGAGCAGCTGTAACATGGGATCTGCAGCCCACTTAGATCTAGTCTGGTTGTTTCCTTTAAAACTAACAGAGACCACTGCCGCCACCACCACCCCTCTAAAATGGCTCTGGGCGGCACCCCCCTCCTCACTGCAGAAAGATGGAAAGACAGCCGTGCCCTCTCAAGCCAGCACTGGTTAATACAGGAGATGGCTGCAAATACAGAACAAGCCATCAGTCGGTGCTACAAAGGGAGAGGGCTGGGCTTGAAACTTTTTGATAACTGGGAATGAACTACAACTGGAAACACATTGTTCTTGTGCATATGGTTTTTATTGCAACTATTTGCCTCTGCTGGTATAGTACACCAAAGTTCCTTGTATTCAACAGAATTGACACTTCTTAGCAGTAATTAGTTTTAGATCAAGCCACCACAAGCAGTGCAGAAGGAGACAACTTCTCAGAAGAAAGAAAAATGAAAAGAAAAACAAAGGAGGCTGAAGAAATGGGGGCAAACAGTATGTATGCACATAACACAACCCAAGTTGAATCCCAGAACCAAGCAAACGGAAAACTACTGCATTCAGGTACTCTCACCTCAGCCGGCCTGTCTGCACAACTCACCTGTTCTGTGCAAAGGGAAACACGTTTGTAAAGTCTTTGTAAAGTAATCAAATTTAGCACCAAAATGCCGTGAACCACACCCCGAAGTGCAGGGTAAAATTTCCTCTTGTTTGGCTGAACACAGCATCCTTGTGAACTCTGCAGATTTATCCGGAAAGGCTCCCCGCCCCCAAAGGGTGCACAGATGTCCTGCAGTCCTTCGGCCCTTTGGGCAAAACCCCAAGTGGTTTCTCTGTCACCTTCTCTACCCTTTCAAAGACATTCAATTTAGATGGGTGTAGCCATCGGCATAGGCTCTACATGCACTTATCTGCCATTGCCCGGTTCCAGGAAGTTGCCAGCAAGCAGGCAACGCAAGGCCTTGCAGCCATTAGCCTCGTTTCCCCACAGGCTGAAAACCTTCACAGCAAAGCCCTCCGTCTCTGCGGTTTCTCCCACGGCCGGACGACAAACTAGGAGTTAAGCGTGGCACAACTGTGGAACTTTGGCTGTGGATCTGTGATTCAAGACCTTTGTTTGGGTATGAAGAAGTGGACCAAACGCATGGTTATTTTCAGTCCCTAGCGCAACCCCAAGTCCCAGAAACAGACTTAATTCTGCTCCAATTTAAATACTTTTATCTATAGCAGCAAAAACACAAAAGCAAACCAAAGAAACCAGGATAAGGGATCTGTTCGTTAGTAGGGTCACTTTGTATGAACCACCGAAGTGCTGAAGAGCAGCTTCTGCTTCTGCTTCTTTTTCTTGCCTTTTTTATCCTCTGAAAAGGGAGGGGAAAAAAAAACAGTCAAGCCTTAGGCTGTTGAGAAGGGTGCCAAATTTGATGAGTTACTTCTTTTCCAGTCGTAACACACAAGGAGCCATCCTCTAACTGCCTGGCAGCTGTTCTTTCCTCAACTTCTTAAGGGAGGGCAGGAGACTGACAACGAAGGGAGCCACTGTTGGAGCCAGGATGGGCCACGGGCGCTCCTTCCTGCTGAGAAGTATCCTGATGCTGGCAACTTGGCTAGTCACGCTACCTGCGGGATCACGGACCGTTCCAGAGAGCGGACTTTGAGGCATAAGGTCCGAGGCTCAATTCTTGGGAGCCTCCCAGTGCTGGCCAAGCATTAGATCCATGGTACAGCATTGAACACGCCTGCAAACCACATGCCTGCTGAAGGCATAAAAGTGTGCTACTTATGTACCGCTCCATAGTACTTAAAAGTTCTCTCTGGGTGGCTTACTATTTAATTATGCAGGCTACACATTGCTGGGTAATCAGTTTACCAACCTTGGAAGGCTGAATCGACCTCAAGTCAGCTAGCTGGGATTGAGCCCAGGTTGTGAGCAGAGTTTTGGCTGCAGGGCTGCAGTTTATGCACTGTGCCGTGAGTGGTTCAAGTCAGAGCATTCTGCCGCTAAAACTATATAACAGACTCTCTGGAGTACATCCAAAATATTTCCCCCACATTAGACTAAAGGTTTTATTCCTGTCCTGTGCTTCAGCATTTCTACATTACACCAGAACTTGCTCCGCAGGGCTTGGCCTGGCCATTGTCCCCTATGAGCCACTGCTTGGGGCTCTGGAAGCCAGGAAGATAGAGAGGTACAACTGGATCGCCCGCCCAGAGTCCCACGGCTGACCCTTTCTCCTTCACTCACCCAAGTGGTGGCCAGAAGTGGACGGCTTGTCCAGTTTCAGGAAAGCTGCCTCGATCGCTTGGCTGAAGGAGTTCTGGAAACTAGGCACAGAGACACGGTCCGAGTTGTCGCTCTCCCCGCCGCTGTCTACTGGCGCAGGAGGGCCCAGGGTGGGGGCCTCCTCTGGAAGAAACCAACGGGGTTTAGATCACCAAAGGGTGGAACAGGCCTCTATTACAACATGGAACCCTCCTACAGCACCCTCCTACAGAAAGCCAGTGACTGCCTCCGATGAGGCCCTGGGCCTTTTCGGGAAACCAACGGGGTTTAGATCACCAAAGGGATGGAACATCCCTCTATCACAACATGGAGGCCTCCTACAGCACCCTTCTGCAGAAAGCCAGTGACTGGCTCCGATGAGGCCATGGGCCTTTTCGCCTGCCTCAAATTATTATCACCTATACATCATTTTAATGCGCTCCACTGTGGCTGGAATTTGACTTTATTTTGATTTTTCCAGGGGCTAAAAGAGAGGGAGACTAATTCTACAATTAACTCTCCTCACAATCCCCTCCACCTTGGCGACCCAAAGCCACCAAAGGGTGTTGGGCTCACCTTTCTTCTTTGCCTGAGAATTGTTCCAGGTTTCTGGCTTCGCTTTCCCAGCTCTCAGCATCTGCAAAAAGAAAGGGAATCAGAACTAGGAGCCACACCGGTCACCTCGCCTCATAAGGCAGGAAAATGCTACAGATGTGTCACCAAAGAAGACTAATTCAGCTAAGAAGCATGGTATCTGACTTCTAAACAAATGGAAGGCAGCCTGAGATAAAGCACATTTTAATACAGCACGGCTGCTAACTGCACTGCCAATTAAACTTTCGCAAATTTTTGCTAAGCAACGAAGTCCATTTTATACTCTCAACTTCTGTTTGGTTTATCTGCCAAGTCACCGATTTGCTTGAGGCACCAAGAGACATTTCAGGGTAAGGGATGCAGTAAGAATGACTGAAGTCAGAATTCACCCACATCATGTTTCCTATTTCAATAATGCAAGAGGCTTGGTTTTCCAAATTTGGCTTATTACATTTAAGAATTTCATTTAGGGTTGTTGATTTAGCTATGGGCTGAACCCAGTTGCAGCCAGAGCATGGATTCCCCTCAAGACAGAACAGTATGATTTTGAATGATATTGAAGTAACACGTTCATTGAAGCAGGTTAATAAAACACTTCAGACGATGTAAACCATTTTTGAAAACTTTTTTTGGCTGAAAGGCAGTTTGCAAAACAGGAGGCAGAACTGAAGGTTCTTGTACTAAGCACTAAGGGGGTCCCCCAAACGATGCTGCTGCCTGGAGCCACACACCTGGGCAAAGGACGGGAGCCCAAGATCCTCCTCCAGGTTCCCGAGACAGAAGGAAGGGCTGACAGGACTAGCGGCAGGTGACCCGAGAGTTAACAGAGGTTCTGCAACGAGAAAAGCCACACATTGGATGCAAGCCGTTTCTGCTGAAAATGCAGGGCCGTGAGAACTGGGTTCCCCAAACCACACACGCCTCCCAGTTCTTTCACCGTCTACGAGGTCTCAAGGCTTGCATGCGTCTCTCACCCAGTTTTCTGTACAGCCAGAGAAGCCTCTTACTTCTGACAGCTGTTTTCTAGTTGTTTCTCTGCCTCGCCTGTGGAAGTGTTTTCTGTCCAGTACTTGCAGGTATTTGCCCCCACCCCGTGGATGCAAACACAGAAGCTGCCACTGGCTGAAGCAGCTGAGGGACAGACTGACTGACTGATTTACTCGCTCATTCAACTTTTATACCACATTGTCTTGTGGCCTTGCCAACTAGCCTGGGCGGCTTCCAGCAGTAAAATAAACAAAGAACAAATCCCACCCAAACCAAAAATAGAAATCTGTAGCAAAACAACAGATCTAAAAATCAAGAGGGTGACAACAGACAAATTAAAGGTTACAGGATATAACTCTCAAAATAAAAGTAAATGAATGACCAAGAGTTGTAAGGGGAAAATGTCCCGAAATGCCTCCATGAAAAGCCAAGTTTTTATGTGCTTCCTGATTATGAGGAGGGAAGGGGCCTGGGCGCTCCTCTGCAGGCACAGACCATTCCATAAAGAGGATACTGAGGGAAACAACACAGGGGTCAGTGAACTGCGGCTTTCAGCCCCTCCCTCACCTGGCTGAGTCACGGAGCTTCTACCGACCGAAGACAGCAGAGTGCTGCTCTGTGCCTCCTGGCCATCAGGTTCTGCTGAACAGGCGCTGAAAGCAGGAAACTGCTGTAGATTCTCTAACGCAATACGGACCTCGGGATCTAGGAAAAGCCAGAAGAGAACATATTTTGGATCTCTATGACGGATCAATTCGCTTAAGGCCAGCAGCACATCATTTACAAGGTCCGGGTCTAATTCAAGACCTGGCCATGCCCTTGTGAATATGATGTTCTTTTTTTCAGAAGAGGCTCAAAGCAATGCTTGGAAGAGTCTCACCAGGGCTGATCCCACCCTCTCCTGGTTCTGCTATGGGAGACCTGCTGCTTACTTACATTTGCCTTGCTTTTTGTTTTCTTCCATTTCAATTCTACGTTCCCGGCGTCGCTCATCACGAGCTTTCTTCTGTCTGAGGCGCTTCCTTTTTTCAATGTCATCTAAAAGCCACAGGATGAGATCCAAGGTGAGACTGGCAGCTAACAGCACAAATTCTTTTCGGGCTAACTTCCTCCCCCTTGCTCTGGCCTGGGCTCAGGCAGCCACATGGAGACTGTAGTGCAAGAACAAGCATGAGGACAGGTTTCCTGGGGAAAAGAGAACTCTTATTGGCTCACCTGAAAACATCTCCAGGGTTTCCCTGGAAATGAATGGAGGCTTCAAAGCCAGTTCGCAGATGCTGAACTCGCAGGTGAGGGGCAGATGACACAGGTAACGATGGCGCTGGCGCACATCCTGCAGGCGAGAATTCAGGGTTAGAGGGAACCGGCCAAGAGGCCCTGCACGTACTTCCTCCCACCCTAAAGTCACCGGTGCACAGGATGCTGGTGAGTTTCAACCAACAGCGTCTTGCTTCATCTCTACCACCTCCTCTGTATTCACAGTGGCAGGAGTGACCCTGAATGAAGCTTAGCGGTGCCAGTCATCTGCTTTTCTGTCTTTCTTTTTTTAAGTACAAAAACCTTCTAAGCGTATCCAAAACTACTACTGACATACTGCAACAGGGCTACAGCCAGACTGTTGACTAGAACTAGTTACAGGAAGCACACAATTCCCTTGTTCTAACCTCTTCACTGATAAATTTTTAAGCACAACTCAAAGTACTAGTTTAAAGCACCACAAGGCTTGGGGGTGGCGGATTTCAGCTAACTGGAGGACCACACTCTCGGGAGCGTACACCCACCGAGCAATGATCTCTCTCGTTCTGCCACCGGTATAGGCATGTTTGGTGGTGGTGGTGGTGGGAGACCACAAGAAAGGCCTCCATGGGTGGCTGTTTCCAGCATGTGGGACGGCCTTGCAAGGGAGGGGAGGGATGCCCACCCACACCATCCCTCACCCACACCATCCCTCCTTCCCTTTCTCTATTCCAGGAGGCTTCTGGTGACTGATTGCAAAGGAAAGGTCTTTTAACAGATCTGTGCTGTGCTTCTTTACAAGAGCCGGACCAAGCATTTCCACTCAGTGTTTTCAATATTACCATTTGTCTAACGGCATCTTAACAAGACCATGTTTTGGATGTTTTTACGTTCTTTATTTATGTCTCTGTGCTATGTTCTTTATCTGTAAACGCTTCAGGCTTGTGTGTGTGCCCTTTCGTCTTCCAGTTCTGCGAGGAAGACCAAATCAAATGTATTTGATATCATCAAATATATTTGGGGGGAAATGAGCAGCTGCTAACTTAAGCCATCTTTTCATAAGGTGGTGGCAGGAGAGGTGAGTCGTGCAACTCCCCGAGTCCTCCTCCAAGCCGGAAGGGCTCTTCTCACCTCCGTCATGGAGTGGCCAGATATTTCCACCACGGTGGCAGTGATCTTCTCCGGACTGTTCTCCAGGCTGCCGTACTCCTGGATCAGGCAGCGCACATTCACGGGGTGAAGATACAGGCATTGCCCGTCCTCGGCTAGAGTTAAGAGAAAAGACGACACAGGACAACAGCAACGTTACTGCAAGTACAAAGAGTGGTTTCAGAAAGATTTATTCCATGCCTAGCTCTGGGCTCCTGTACACCCCGTGGCAGGGCATTTCGCAGGTTGGACATCATCCTGCTTCCATCAGCCACTTCAAAATTCTAGCAGGGATGGCGGCTTGCAGGAAAAGCGCCCTGTTGGAACCAACAGATCAGTAAAACTTTCAGTACGCTGTCCCTTTTTTTTGAACAGAAACCCAAACTGGCCTCAAACCAATTTTCAAACTGCAGAATTAGCCATGGATTGCCTTGCAGAACAACTATAAATTCATTTAACTCTGCAGTAAAAAAATCTAATCAAGTCAACTGATAGGTCTGTGTGTGACACACTTAGCTAAATAATCCAATGGACAAAGAATACAGATTTGTTGTACATTCCTGACTTTGGATTCCCTATGGGGAGAAAGGGGGCATATAAATAAACAGGTATTACTTCTCCGGACTGATTTCTGCCCTTTTTACATGGGTGTCTCTCCTTTTCAAAGACCCCTCAATGTTTTGCAGCTGCTTTGCATGTTTCAGCCCTCATTGCCACCCCCAACCCCCCACCCCCGGTCTTGAAAAGTTTTTAGAAAACCTGATCTTCTCAAGAACATCTCTGGCATCTGACTCACCTTGGTAGAAGTAGTAGAAAGGAGAGCTGCTTGGGTGGCTGCAGCTGAGAGCCCTCTTAGGTTTTTCTGGAGCAGGTTCAGCCACACTGCCGCTTGCCCTCTCACTTCCGCCTGCCAGGTCCTTGCCAGAATCTTCTTCTGCAACCTCAGCCACCGCCCCCTCTTCTATTTCAGAGGCAGGCGGAGCAGCCTGTGCAGAATCCACCGGAGGAGACTCCAGGATTTCTTCATCAAATGCAGAAATATACCGCACAACACACTGTTGTGACAGGAGAATACAGTTAGCCTCCATCGTTCTCACCCGACTCACACGAGAATATCTGCCTTCTCACTAAAAGCATCTTTGTCACCACCTCAAGAGGAAAGTGGAATTTACGGGAGCCACTCCAGAGAAGAGGAGTCTGGTTTAAGATCCCGAACATGCATCAGTACCTGAGTTACATTTGTTCTGTCTGCAGTGACCCGGACGGTAGGCAAGCAGAGAAGGCTGCACTGGAAGAGCGCTCAAACCCTTCTTACCTTCTCCTCTTGGGAGGTCACTGTGGCTGCTTCTCTGTCAGACACCTCTCTCACAACTAATTCCTCCACAGCTGCTGGGGTGCTTGCAACATCTCTCCCTTGACTTCCGTCAGACATCAAGCTGCCCTCTCGATCCTGAAAGCCATACCATACGAGATATTTTTAATACGAGCTATTTTTATATCTGATTAAATGTAGTCTGTGTTAATGAATGCCGTATTATGAATCAGGAAAACCCACAGATCCCTTCCTCCCGGACTCTAGCCTGCAAGATTCCACTGCCGTTTTTTACCTTCAGCTCTTGAATGGCTGCCTCAATGAAACAGGCTTCAGGGGTGTCCTTGTCTTCCTCGTACTGACGCAGAAGTGCGGCCTTCTCCTCCAAGATCACTTGCTGCCGCACCTGAGCCTTGGAGGCCACGAGAAGCTTGGAATACTGGCTGTGTTCCTCATCTGCATACACACACACACACAGAGAAAAGCGGGGTGAAGATCCCCAGTGGGATCCCGGCAAGCATCAGCCTGGGCATTTCACGAGCCAACCTATGATCCGTGGCCCATTTCAGTGGTTTTCCTGCTCAGTGTTCCTCATCTGCATACACACACACACAAAGAGAGAAAGGCTGGGTGAAGATCCCCAGTGGGATCCCAGCAAGCATCAGCCTGGGCATTCCACGAGCCAACCTACGATCCGTGGCCCATTTCAGTGGTTCTGAACTTTTGGTCCTCCTATTCGTTTGGACTTCCGGGGCCAGAAAGTGCAGCTGGCAATGTCTCGAAGTTTAAATCCCCCAAACAGGGCAGGCTTTTTGGCCCACGGATCTCCCTGATACGCTTACAAGGCCAGGCTGTGAGGGGGGAGAAACTGCAGCAGACATTAACTTAGGACCATTGTCAGCAAACCTGCCTAACAACAACCATCCCTGGTGCCAGCTGCCTGGTCCAATTTGTCTTCCATCCCAGAGAGCCATTGCCCCGATCTACTTCAGTGTGGCTCCTTTGCCTATGAAGGGGCTCTTCTGCAGGACAACTCCATTGAAGCAGAGGGCAGCTGCCTTCTACAGACACGGCACATCAATTCCCAATCAGAGAGTCCCTGATGGATTGCAACTACAGGTCCCAACATCCCTGATGGTTTACCATGATGGCTGGGGCTTCATGCAGTCATCCCATGCATCCTTAGGTGACAATGGCTGAAATCCTATTGTCACCTAAGGTTTAAGGCTGTGCAACAAGGAAGACATTATCACCTGGCAACATTCAAGTTTAATCCAATCCAATCTAACACTTCCTATCCCCCTAGAGATCCCTTTTGCCCTGGGAAACCTTGGGGAGCCTTGGGCTAGGAGGGTTGGGTGGATGGGTGTTAGCTTTGACTATCAGAAAATCACTGCCAGCAGTTCCACTCAGGTGCTGCTATCGCCCTCAATGATTTTTCAATATTAAAGGCTTTCTCAGAGCAAAAAGGAATCCCGAGGGACCCTCGAAGCCTGAAAAGGTGTGGTAGGAAGCTTTAAATGAAATTAAAAACAGGATTAACATCTCCAGCTGATGACATCACCACTGTTCACACGGAGGAGTCACGGCAAAAGGATTGCATCTAATATATCCTACCTTTCTGGGGGTGGGGAGGGGAGAGAGGCACTCAAGGCCACAGGAACCTTGACACTCACCTCCCAGGTGAATGGGCTGCTCCACATGTGTCGGCTTTGACTTTGGCAAGGCTACCAAGATCCCTTTTTCCCGCCTCATCAGCTGCATCGTAATCGTATCGCCAATGGCATACTGATGGGTTTCTAGGGCAATGACGCTGGAAAGAAAAAAGGGGAAACAGTGACGGGCGGCTGGCCGTTCCATCAGAAGGCGGAGGATGTATCGCTCCAGAGAACCTCCTTACCTTTTCAGGTCCTTCTTGTGAATAGAGCTGTAGCAGATGGGGCACTTGCTCCAGGTCTTCTCACTCAGAGACAGATAGTGCAGGATGCACGCCCAGCAGAAAATGTGCCCACAGCGAGTGATCTTGGCAGCGGTGGGTGGATATAAGCATATCGGGCAGGAGGGCACCTCGTGGCTGCAAATCCGCTGGGGAGGGCAACAGAAACCAATTGGCTATCTGAACAGCAGGGCATGAGCAATTTAGCCCCTTATGCAGTCGGATAAAGTTAAAAATATTTTTATCACATCATACCTTTCTACTTTGGAAGGCCACTGAGGCAGGTTGCAAGTGAGAATAAAAATCTTTACAATAAAATCTGCCTAACTCTAACAGCAACAGTAAAAATGCACACAGAGAGAGAGTGCTTTACTGACAGGCTCTGGAAATATGCAATTCCAAAGCTTATTAACCCTCAATCTTTGCACATAAACAAAGCTGAACTTTTTGACACGTTGGTTTCAGAGGGCAAGAAAGGGCAAATTGCCATAGATCTGTGACATAAGCTTTAACCTAGTCCATTCTTACTAACCACTTGCTCCACAAAGTCCCAATTGACCAAGGTGTCTGGGTCGGTGAAATGAACAGTGTAGTCCTGGTCATCGCACACCACAAACTGGCAGCTGGAAAGTAAACAAGAAACAGGTGAGTCACCTACAGTAATTACCTAAAAGAGAATTGAGAGGGGCGGTTATCCAGTGGCTGGGATCATAATTATCTAATGTGTTTTACCAGGGGTTTTATTCATGGCGTAACAAAGGCTATGGAAACAGCACTAGAACCAGAGCCTTTGGATCAGAGGCAGGCAGATTCCACTATCCAGAGAATGATAAAGGCAACTCACTTGGCCTGTAAGAACAGCTCCTTGTTGAAAGGCTTGTTTCCCCATCGGTTCCTCTTCCCCCACGAGCCCCGGCTGCTCCCATCAAAATGGCTTCCTTGGCCGCGAGGTTCAAAGGTGAAATTCAACAAGTGATTCAGATTAATCTTCTTGGGACCTGATAATTGGGCAGGACTAAACTCTGCCCGTTGGGCCTCTGCTACCTGGGAAGACAACAGGGGAGTCAGAATGTACTAATAATGTAGATATATGTTTTAAAAAATGCTGAAAGACTACTGAGATGTGTTTTTGCACTGATATGTACATAAGACCACTTCCAACTTGTAAGAAAATGGCTCAGATGCCAAAGAACAACTCTCTACAACAGCTTCCTTCCACCGATATGGCCTGCTTTCTAAATTTAATCTTACGTGTCTCATTTTGGGGAGGCACGACCCTATAACTCCTAATAATCCCCTACATGAATATGCACAAGCCTAGCAAGGGTTTATTACAAAGACTTCTGCACCAGATGGTTCATTCAGTCCAGAGTAAGTTGAAATAAGATGCAGCAACATTCCATCTAGTGGTTAATTGATTCTTACTCCGTAACAAGTAACACCAAACAAATAAACAAGTTTGAAGAAATAATACAAATAAAATACAAGCCAAATTGTATAAATAAATTAGAAGACTTTTATCTGATATCATATCATTGCTCCTCACCAAACTTTTAACTACTATACATTCTATGTTATGAATTGCGAAATGCCACCAACTTGGTCTTTTCAAGTGAACATGAAGCGAGAGAATTCTCAGTATTTGTCAGAGAGCAACAGACTGGCCAGAGGTGAAGACAGGAACGCAACATATCCTCCACCTAGAGTGGTCGTTCGACTAGATAGGCGGGGTATAAATAAATAAATATCCGTGAAACTCAGAACATGTGTTGTAGCGCATTTCTCTACAGTGGTTACCCCCCTTCCACCGGCTTAGATTCGAGAATAGGATAAAAATCACCCATCTTCACAGTTTGCATAACATCTCACTACAAAAGGAGATGGTATCATCAACCCATCACTCGGTGCTCGAAAGATACATCCTTACCTCTTCCCGTCTTCCACCATTAAAAGGAGAACTAAAAGGTTTTCCGCCGCTGCCACCCTGCCCTCCTCTCTGAGGAGGCACCTTGTTAAAAGTTTTGCTTTTCTGTGAAGTGGAGCGACGGGACTGACTGGTGCAGTTCTCATTTTTGGGATATGAAGTTTCTCGCTTACGATTATAACGCTGTCTGGATCCATTTCCACTTTTTCCATCTGGAAAAAAAGAGATAAAGCTAATAAAGCACTGAGACGGGACAATGAAATACGTTAGTACCCTTCATGAAAACCAAAAGCAATTTCTGCTGCATCAAAACCACAACCAGCCACCAAGATAAAAACCCAGGGAAAGAGTTTCAGGCTACCTACAACTGGAAGATCTAGATATACAACAGGTGGCACGATCAGTTAATAGAAGGAAGCCTAAAGTATTTCCAATGGCTTGTTAGAGCAACTGACATGTCAGACGCCTGTGTGAGTAAAACGATGCTTGTTTGAGAAGGTCCTGCCCCTCATGTTCCCACCAGTTACAAGGAGCAATGAGGCAAAGACCTAGAGAGAGGCAAGCCTGAGTTTTGAAGGTGAACATCACAGCCATTCCAGCCTTCCTTGGTAGGGAGCTCCAAAATCTGGGAGCTGCCCGAGATGGACCTCTCTTTCTCATGTCTCTAGCAGATGGAAAGTGGGGTGGTAACAGGATCCAGAGAAAGGTCTCCATTGATGATCTGAGGCCCAGAGAGACTCACACGGGAGAATGTGGTCTTTCAAATGGCCTGGTCTTAAGTCATCCTGGGCTTGATAACTTGCACCCAGTACTCTGCCATGCAGCCATAAAGAGACCTCCAGCTAGTGAAGGCGCTCTGTAACTAGACCTGGTCAATGATTTGACAACCACATTCTGGATCACATGATATTTCTAAGTACTTCTCAAAGGAAGATCTAACTAAAGCACATTAAGAGTAATCCAAAGGGGATAGAACTAAAGCCTGTGTCGTCGTGAGCAGATTAGATGCCTCCAGGAACTCACTGGAGCTGGTACACTAATCTCAGCTACACAAACACAACTCTCAAGACACAACTGAAACTTGGGAATGTAGATTCAAGACCCCAACTAGGGGCATACCCAAACCGAGTCTTGAAGAGGAGGATGATCCCCATGTAACACAGCTTGAACACTTGTTCCTCAGCCTTTTGAATGATCAGGAACACCTTTGTCTGATTGTTCAATGTGCTCTTTTTTGTCTAATCCGCTACCAACACCAGACACCAAATGTGAACAAGAACAACTCCCTGAGAGTTAGGCAGACCGGAGATGCACTGGTGACACAATTCCCTCAAAGTCCTAATCACCTTTCCCTACTGACCCTATATTAAGTAGCAAGGGCTGGGGGGAGGGGGGGACAGACTCCTGAGGGACAGTAAAGGTCAGTGGTCACAGTGCTGAGCAGAAGATCCCTCACAACACCACCTCCTGAAATTATCCCCCAGAGATTATGCAAAACGGAGCCTCCCCATGCCATCCTAGATGCCTCAAGAGATACAGCAGCCCATGCTGCTGAAAGCTGCCAGGAGGTTCAGCAAAACCAAGAGACTCAGATTTCCCCAATTTTTTAAAACTTTCCTTCAACTAGCTGCTGCTGCAGATCACCCCCCCCCAAAGTGAACAAAGATTCTCTGTACCCTTGGCACGGCCTTTGAGAACAATAGTGATTTGCCCCATTTGTTAAGAATATTTTTGTTGATATTTCTGCTGGGAAAATATTGGAAGTTTTAAACTTTGGAACTGTTTTTCTGTGTGCTTCTGTCAGCTCAGAGCAGGTTTAGACATGCACTCAGCAAGTCAGATTTCATGTAAACAGTGCACTGTAATGCTAGTTACTCTTGTTCTGTTGAGGAGAAGAGTTGCCACCAAAATGTTTACTGTGAAAGATGTAGAATAAGGAAGAGCTCTGTCAGGCTGCCTAGAGACCTCACCAAAATGTTTACTGTGAAAGATGTAGAGTAAGGAAGAAAGAAGAGCTCTATCAGGCTGGCTAGAGACCCGGATACTCCACCTTGAATTTCAGCACAGAAGGCAGGCTGAATAACACAGGAACATTTCCTTATGAATCAACGGATATGATACAAACAATAGATCTGATCTCCCCATGTAGCTATCTACCAGAAGACTATAGTGTTGAATATTTTCACTTACCCAGGATGCCTCAATTTTGTGTGTAATAAATTTAGCTATACTAGTACATCAGTAGTTTTGGTAAAAGTCTTTTCATATAGAGAGAAGGATCTGGCTTTAAAATAAAAGGCTTCCATTTTTTTTTACTAGTTACAACCTACCTTCATATTCAAATTAACACTTTCACTTAAAAGCTGCTGTTATCATTCCTTCCAAAAAAAATACCTAAGATTTTTCCAGCCAGTTTTCTCTGCAAGAAAAGTTTTGTTACACAAATAATGTTGTGTGTATTTCTAAAAACCTTCAAAAGGCTGACGTCTGACATGGGCCAATCAAGAGGTCAACAGCAGTGCAGAAGCAGAACTGTCACAGTGACCTTAACAGGATTGGAGAATTACGTCACCATGCTATCATCAGCCATTTGCACTCTTGAGTACACAGGTCATAATCAGTGTCTCCACACATGTCCCATAGAAGTTAAAAGCAGTATGTGCTCCACCCAGCCTTCTATCACCACTGCATTCTTCAGCAGCAATAACCAGCAATTACTTCAGCATAACTTGTGTTGCTGTGTGATGCCAAATTGCTTCTCACTTGTAGTAACCTTAACAGGGTTTTCGTGGCATGTGAGATATATAAACACTAGCTTATCCTTACCACCACCCTCCTCAGACATTCATTGTTCAAGAAGAGATTTGAATTCCTGAGTCCTAGACCAACTTTTTATCCACTATACAATACTGATCATCAGCAAAATCAATCAACACAGAACACAGCACCTTAATTTTGTTTAAAAATGTGTGGGAACACCTCGGATGCAATCATCTGGATTCAAGATCAATTTCAGCAGCGAATCTTCAAACCCTAAAGACTAACTTTCCTACCAAAGAGTTGGTGCAAACACGGACACAAGTAGGATGAAGAAAGACTCCCACCAGAAAAATGTGACTGGAAAAAAATTGGCTACAGCACAGGAACCTTTCCTTAGAACCGAACACACTGCCTTAATGCTTCAAAGACACAAACCTGCAGCACTTTATATTAACTCAGAGATATTTAGCTGGCTGGATAGTTCCGTGGTTTAAGCGTCCGGCTGCTGACGAAGTGGTTGGGAGTTTGATTCCCCCATGGGGCCTTCCGTGAGAAGAGCCAGCCTGTGTAGCCTCGGGCAAAAGCTGCACAATCCAGGACAACTCTTTAAGGAGGAGCTGGTATGAATATTATATCCTATACATCCAGAGAAGCAGACTGCAGTCTTTAACAGCTCATGAGAAAGACAGACCAGGTTATCTCAAAGATGACATAACACAATTGTTTTCGCTCACACACCCTCACCCTTCACTCACAATGGGAGATGTAGGGTTGAAGGACAAGACTGAAGTAAACAAAGCTATTTCTAAGTCAGTGTGGGCAAAGTGGAGAAGGAGAGAGGCAGCAGTACATGGGCTCTGAAACCTCTTTTATAGGCTCTGCCACCTCCATTATGAAGTTCCTGGAGAGACAGTTCTTTTAAATAAGGGCACAGAAACATCCTCCACCCCAAAACCATGTTAACATTTCTCAAACCAAGAAGCAGGCTTTTGATCACTTCCTCTTCCTTATTGCATTTGTGGGCTGTTATTGCTTCACAATCCTGACAGTTTGTTTAGGCTTTCCAGACCAACACCTCCATGTCAAAAATGTACACGAACACCCTGGCTCCTGAGCCTCTCCACCCAAATGTCAGGTGACAGAAGGATTTCTGCACTTACGAACTTGCTGCCTAATATAATTCTACTTGGCATTGGCAACCATTTTATATTTCTGATTCTTTATGAGTTATTTTTTTTCGTAGATATTCTATTGCCTATTTATGTTCATGTGATTTTTTCATTCGGTCTGTGGGGGTGCGCGACAGGGTCTCTTATGCACTTTGGGTGATTGTGATCAGTTTGCTAGTGTGTGTGCACATACAAACATATACCAACACACACACACATCAATACATAATTAGACAGGTGATAGACAGCTGTATTAATACGTCGCTTGCAAGAAAGACAACACAGAGGGTTAAAAGCTCCCCATCTTTGGACAGAGGCTCCGAGGGGTGGGTGGGGGGAAGCGTCCTCCTTCCCAGAAGGCTATGCGGGGCGACCTGTCCTTCTCGGACTACAACTCCCATGACTCCCCGGTGAGCCTCCAAAAAACAAACACCCCAACAACGCCACCCCAAGACAATCCCTTCCGCCTTTCCGTCCCGTTCCCCCTCCCCCGCCTGGCGGGGCCCACAGAGTCGGCCTCCCTTCTCTTCCTTCTCCTCACCGCTTTTCGGCTTGGACTCTCCCCCGGCGGGGCCCGCGGAGTTAGAGCGGGGCGGCGGCCCTTTCCCTCCGGCG